GCCCTGCTGCAGGCAGAACCTTCCTGCCCTGGCATCTGGGCAGTGACAGGGGCTCTGCCACAGAGCAAAGGGCCAGGACAGCCACCTGCTGCTGCTGCTGGTCTTACCTGCTGCAAAGGACAAGAGAGCAAATACCCCTCAGTGGAGGCCACCAGGCCAGCATTCCCAGAGCCTGCCCTGCCCCACCTTCAGCGCCGTGCTGAGCAGTGTGCAGGATGGACAGGGAGCTGGAACTATGGCTCCGGCTTGGAGGCTCCTGATGGAAAACTCCTCAGGTCCTGGCTGTTCTGGCAAATGCCATAGGGAAAAGGTAGCAGGGGGAAATCCTTGCACAAGCCTCTCTCATTCGCATTAGGCCATTCAATACAGCTGTAGGAGTGACTCAGTGATTTCTTGAACCATCCTGATCATGTTGATATCTAGTCAGCGTTAGTATCGGTGGATACTGAGTCTCTTGAGAAAAGGCTCAATTGGTGCAGAAACAAGTAATCTATCTGGGATATGAAGTTTCAGGGGGACAGAGCTCTCTAGGGACTGCACAGAAAGAAGCCATTTGCCAGACACCCAGACCCTGGACTGCGAAGGAACTCCCAGCCTTTTTGGGAATGGCAGGAACTTCATCCCAGAAGGCTGAATTGATAGCTCTCATCAGAGCTCTGGCAGAAGGAAAACCAATCAACATATGGACTGACTCTAAGTATGCATTTGGAGTGGTACATGTCCATGGAGCCATCTGGAAAGGGAGAGGACTTTTGACTGCCCAAGGGAAAACAGTCAGTCATGCAGAAGAAATCCTGCGACTCCTGGAGGCAGTTCAACTCCCATCACAGGTGGCAATTATGCACTGCCAAGGGCGCTCACTGATCATCATATTGGTGTCATGCGGTCCGTCCTTGCGTGGCTCCCCACAGCATGTTGCACCTGTGGTACAAGGAAGTGGATCCTAGGCTCTGGAGAGTTAAGCATATGAAGTTTTGGGGCCAGAATTTGACAATACACATTCTCTGAAGGAGACAGTCCTACAGCTTCCAGGGTTTCAATTCCCATGTCAGGAGTATGAAAAGAGCAGCTGGTCAAATGCTGCTGTCAATTGCTGGAAAGGCACAGTTATTGTATGGCATAAGAGCTGCAACTGTAACCAAGGTCGCCTGTTTTAATGTTCAGTACCTAGAGCTTCAGAGGAATGCTGCCACCTAATGATACACAAGCTTTGGCTGACACTGTGTCCCAGCCAACACATCACACCGGCAGGTTGGGAGGAAGGTACTAACCCTCGGGTTCAAAACAACCAAATTAAACCCCAAGACCCAGCAGTGAGACTAGCATCCATAGAGTGAAAAGGTGCCAAAAGAAGGCTGCTGCCTATTAGGAAACAAGGGAGAGAACCATCCTTTTCTGACAGCACAAAGCTTATGACAGAGCTACTAATATTTTAGCCAAATTAAACACGGCAGTGTAAGCTACGTAAGTCTGTTTTACTCTGACTGAGGCACTTAGACATTTGTTTTCCATGTATCAACAATTTATTTGAAGAATCACATCCATAAGCCATGAACTGCATTAAAAAGCATGTAGAAAACCAGAACACGTCTTTACAGTTAGAATGTAAAAGGGTGGCTCATGATGCTAAAACAGCATTTTTCCACATCTGGTGGAGAGACCGAAAAGACTGAGAAACAGGAAATTTCTTACTTGACAACTGAAATGCTAGGGCTTGGTGCTCCATGTTCTTAGTTTATTAGAAGAAACCCAGAAGCGTCCTGGAACTTGGTATGCCGTAATTGATTTGGCTAATGCTTTGTTTACAATACCTACTGCTGTTTCCTCCTATGGGGATTGTTAACTCCAGTCAGTTTCATGACAAACACATAAGATTGAATTTCCAAGGGGAAATGTTTCATGTTTCAACTGTATCATGTTAACAAGGCTGTTTAATGTGGACTTACTCTGGACGTCTTCTTCAAAACTGTCAAATAATCCAGAGTTGACCCTATACTATTGCATGTATAATCTTGTTCCTTATGGTTTGCAAACACTCAATGGTCACAACAGTCTTCAGGCATTGTCTGGCATATATATTAAATAAATAAAAATTATAGTAGGTGACCTTTCATAACAAATCAGTTTAGCTTCACTGTTTCTTTATATACCCTCATAGGCTGCATGGTTTAAAAACTAATGCAAGAAAAGGCTCTTCATATTGTGATAGTGTTTATTTTTCCTTTAAATATTATCTTCTCTCCTACTATTATCTTGCCTCCCACTCCACAGCTTATAGTCAAGCTCAAAGAAATAGCCTTTCTTTTCTCCCCTACCTGTGTGAATTCAAATGTAGGTGATGATCAGTTTGGATGAAACACCAGAAAAGCCCTTGCCAGCCTCTTAGGAGTTATTTGGCTATTTTACATATAAAATATACACATATAATATATTTTGCATATAGTACACACAGCACTGGGTTGCTGTGTGTATTCTTCATCCTCAGCCCATGAAGAGCCTATGTTCCAGTTGCATCCTCACAGATAGTCTGCAGAGGTATGAGGAGAAATGCCGTTGAGTAAAATGCCTAGAATTTTGCACGTGGCCTTTAATAGTCATTCACTTCCCTTTAAAGAACAACATATATTTGGGCTGAGTACATCACATGTCTTTTGCACGTCTGTTTGCTGTTCAGCATGAAAGAAAATCACTGTGAGGAAAGAGGTGGATATGCCAGACACGTGATGCTTCTTGACCCTTCAATATCCCCTTGAGTACGTAGTAAATGAGTACCTGATCACTTGCCTTTCTGGTTTAGCTGCATTTTCTGGAATCTTGCTTTGATAAGTGTAGGATGGGCCAGAATGTGAGGGATCCTTTGCTGAACGCCTGGGGCCAATCAGCATGTGAATCTCATAGGTTGCAAAGGTTCTGGCTTCTGCTCCTTGTAAGATTCTAGTTCCAGTCAATTTAGGCACATACATATTGGCCTAATATAAAATAATCTCACAGATTAAATGGTATTGTCATCACAGAGTATCTGTTGCTAATAAGGCAAGAATTAATACCAAAATAAGGGTTGTTGGTGTGATTGTGAGTGGAGGCACTTGTCAATTTTTTTCGGTTCTCTAATATATGGTGGAAAAAATATATTCATTTTTAAAACTCTGGCCATTTGAAGTCAAAACATTCAAAAGTGTTCAAAAGCTGCTCCGTTTTTCAGGTGCATTCAAGAGACCTGCCTTTCATGAAAGTTCTACACAGCCAGTAATGTACGTGCAAAGAGAAGTTTTGCATTGAAAAATCTTTATCCAGTTTCTTTTTAACCTGTGATATGCAGCAGTCCAATGGGAATATATTTTGTACTTCCAAACAAAATATCAATTTAGCTACTTTTATTTTTGATGTTGCCTGTCCCTAGGTGTGCCTTTCTTTCAGAGAAGAGGTTCTGGATGATAAAGCACATACCTGAATCAAAACACAAAACAGTGTAAGAACAAGGGAGTAGAGTCCAAACTATCTTCAGTTCATTTAGAAGGAACAGTAGGAGCCTTCATCTGGCAACCTTGCATAGTTCCTTCCATGAACCTAGGAACAGGACACTGCATTGCAAAGATTAGATTCTTCATATCCATGTTGAAGCCAGTGTCAGAGCAAAGACCTGTCTATAATGCAGTTAAATTTGGCTGAAATGTTTGAAAAGTATTTTGATGATAAGGAGAAGAGCTCTATTTACATGCAGGTTTTGAAGTGGGCTGGCTTTTTATCCCTTTGAATTATCAGTCTGTAAAAGTCTGAATTTCAGAGTAGTTTCTCATAGCAGCTAGGAGGAATGAGTGAGGAGGGTGTGACAGAAAGAGAGTATGATCAAATGGGAATTGATTATTTTTTTTAAACAAGCAAACAAAAAAGCAGCTTCAGTAAGTAGCTGTAAGGCTAGGATTACTGAAACAATTTTTATTGTTCTGTATTTTTATGCCTCACACACACAGTGAATTTTGCAAATTCAATTATTTGTATTTGAAAGACATTGGAAATGAAAACAGGTGGTGATGCACCTCCCTACAGAGGTGTGCAGGAGATGTGCAGAGAGAGTTTGTGAAAGGTGCTGTACTGATTTGATTGTTCCATTGCCACACTTGCACTGAGACACAGCTACCTGGAAGATGAGATACTTACCAATGAAGAGCACGGGCAGGTACATTTTCAGAACACAGGGGAAATAGATTGAGAAGGCGAATGGAAATAGTAGCTTGATGGAGTATGTACCAAAGGACTCAAAATAAGGCAGTGATACACAAATTGCAAATGCTGTAAAAACATGGTAAAACCTTGGTCAAAAGGAGGTGGAAGATCGTCAAAAGGCTTCATGTAAAAGTCAGTTACTTTTAAAGCACAAACAGCTGTATTTTATATGCATATGCATTCATATACATACATATCCACATTTTCTCTTGGAGTTCAGTTTTGTAGGTCTGACATGCTAATTGCTCTTAATATCAGAATTAGCAAGTATTTCCTATTCAGTAACAAGTTCTGTCAATACTGTAGTTGGAGTGCTTTCACTATGCTCTCAGTGAGTAAATTCCTTGACGTGTGATAACATGCTAAGTATAGCCTGAGCCAGTAAGATCAGCCTCAGTGGGGAGAAGGCAGTTTTGGGACTTGCTGCCTAATGTGCTCAGTCTGGAATGGGGGAATCCATATGTAGTTTTGGAGGCTATTTTTCTGCTTTACCCAGAGAAATTAGCATTTTCCTAAATTGTTAAAAACCAATTAAAAAAACAAAAACAAAACCCACCACCAAAACCCACCAGACACAGAAACCTCAAAACCCAGATAGCCCCTATTAAATAAAAAAGAACAGAAAAGCAAAGTATAGGTGACATACAGGTTAACACGAAGGTACATACACATTTATGACTACTTTGGCAACACAAGAAAAGCTACCTTAAGCACAAATGACAATTGAAGTGATGACATTTTACTGAAAAATATTAAGGAAGCAAGTTGTTGGTACCTTTCCCACCTCCTTACCTTTAGCCAGAACTGAAACGGGATACAGCAGGATGCACAGTGAGAAGTTGAGCCATGTCAGTGGTAGGTAGTATATCCCCATCCTTGCCAACATACTGTAAGTGTACCTGCAGCAAGAGGAAAGCAGATGAGCACAGAGGGAATGATGATGTCTTTAAAATACAGTTACATTATTGAAAAAAAGCAAAGGAATTGCAGAATAGCTTGGAGGTGCCTATCAGTAATTTTCAGAGTGAGCAATGGTTTTGTTCAAGCTCTGATGACTACAAGCAGATGGTTCATTGTTTAGGAAGGGTTGTTTTAGATGGTTCATTGTTTGTCTGTGGTGCTACCCTGGAGCAGGCAGACAGAAGTAGAGCCCTCCAGCCAGAAGCCTCTATCAGAAACCAGCATGATTTCATACTGGTCCATCAGAAAATGGATTTCAGATGGGGATGTTGCTGCTGAGAGGGGCAAGCAGAATATGATTGTTTTTGGGACTGAGAAAATGTCGAATTATGACTGCTGAGCTAGCTAAATCACTGCTGGAGAAGTCTAAACATGAAGGTAATTCAGATACTTAACTTTCTGTAGTAAGTCTGTGCCTTTCCTGAACCTCAAAAGGGGCAGTAGGTACAAAAATGTAGCAGTTGCACGCCAATGTATTGCAGCATTTTAATCTTGCTGTGGCTGTTGCTGTTTTTCACTGGGAGACCAGTGTGCCTAGAACGTCACTTTCCAAAGAGGAGCTAATCCTAGTTTGATCTGAAAGTGGCACAGCAGCTTTCCAAACACCAGCAAAACAGGTCTGATTGCATTTTTGGGTCAGCTGAAAGGCTTTTTGCCCTGTGGTCTTGCTAGAAATATGAAAATCTGTTACCTAAGACTTTCTGACAGATGAAACCAGCATTAAAACAAACTTTCTGTATTCCCTTCTTATTAATTAATTTGAGTAATTCTGCATCATACCTGCACTGTAGTACAGTTTGATAGGCTGTAAATATACCGCCCCCTCTCAAATTTGCCTTCTGCAACTTCAGGATTGTCTCTGGTTTTTATTATTGTTGCTTTTAAGACTGAATCTCAACCCAGTACTAAAAGGAAACAGCTGCTTCTTCTCAATACGCCTCCACGAGCTGCTTATGGTGCGAGCATGAAAACCTTGCAGAATTTGCTCTCAGTATATCATTAGCCATAACACATAGTAAATAGGGACATAAATATCCCTGAAGACCTATGTGGAAGAATTTGCAATACTTCAAGAGTAGTTGGCTATGAAATGGGATATATACCTGTGTACTTTCAGACATGAACATTTCTTTGAGCTACTAGGACATGCCACAGACTCTGTAAAATAAATCAGGTAAGGATTCTAGATCTGCATGAGTTGTACTATGTGTTATTTGAATTGGTTGTTTGCTTCTGTAGGCCATGGTATCTTGCCTATTAAACCGCTGCTGTTACTGCTGTGATGCTGGGCTGTGTTCTTTAGCAGGGGTAGAAAATAAATATGCATTGTCAGGACTTTACAGCCAGTATTGTTTACACTTTTGGCATCTCTCCAGCTGCACAGAACCCTTTCATTGCAGATTAGGTCCTACTATTTTAGCTTTACAAACTTCAAAAAGAAATGGGATGGAGCAATAATCAAAATAATTAATACAAGTAGTAGTCTAATGGCACATGTAGTACAAATACTCTGAAGCTGACTTAAAATCTTTATCAGTCCTATCTGACAGTCTCCTTTTTCACATCTCTTTCATAGCTACCTAAATCCATTTTCCTCAGTCAGCCTCCAAAGCAATGTATTTAAAGTAGCAGAAAGCTATTTTAGTGGAAAGAAAAAAAAAAGATAAACAAAATTTTGCTGCCATACATAGGCTGCTGTGAGGGCTATGTCTTGTTAAAATGCTTCTTAATTCCATATGTCTTACCTGCTCCAAGTCTACAAACTGAGATGCATAGAGGCTTAAGTTACATTTGACTCCAGATATTGTAAAAGTCAGTAATGTAGAATTTTCACTATTCTGCTTTTACCACTGGGGGATATTGGTAACCTCCCACCATACAAAATTTTGGAGACAGAAATCCCAAATTGTATTCCTATCCAATTTGTCTCATGTTTGTTGTCCCAGTGGTGTGATATATGCCCCACTGCACCAAAATTCTCAATCTCTACAGCAGGAGCTCTTGGATTTTTGGAAAGCATAGTGCAATTAACCCACAATAGTCTTTCTGTCTTAGCAAGAAGTTCTGCTGGTGCTGCCTTGCTGTGCTGTCAATCTTGGAGCAAAGTGGATAAGAAACCAGAATAATTAAGGAAAATTGTTCCAAGTGAGGAAAGAATTTGCAAGTCTCTGAATAAACAGCAATAAAGATCAAAAAACACCAGCTGTTCCCCAGAATGTAGTTGTAATTTCATTCTAAATTTACTCTGCCTTACATCTGTATGTCACTCTGCCTCTCATCTATGTGGATTTCTGTAAAAATCAGTAACTTACAAGGTTCAAGCTTTTATGTAGAATGGTCAATATGCTTTGCCAATTTTGAAACAGGTAAATGAGCCTGCTGCACAGTGTGAGGTTCTGATGGCAAGAATGACCAATTTTCCCCTCATGGTTTTGACACTGACTCCTTACCTGACCACATCTAATACATTCCAGAGGAAAAATAAAACACACACGACATATTTCCCTTGAACTTCTTCCTGACTGTTGATCACGACAAATAAAACAATTATTCTCTCAGTGATCTGGAAAGAAAAGACAATTTGAGTTCAGGTAGCACCTTAATTAGCTGTTACTTCTGCATCACTTTGGCAAAAATAGGAGGGAACAGGTGAACCCAATTTCCTTTATACAAACATTTTGTTTCTTGGTCTGCTTTTGTTCAAGATTCCATTGGCCTCCACCTCAGGGAACTGGACACTGCTGGCTGGAGCATCACAGATCTACTATGGTGAGTGTAGAGGTTTGCTTGCCAACCAGGCTAACTTTGGTTTGTAGCCCAAGGAAAACTGTGGATAAGCCAGCTGAGGTCATGGAAGCAAGGACCACTACTGTGCTCCAGTCCCTGAAGGGCCAGCAGGGATGACCTGACTTGCTCACACTTGCAGTGTGGGAAGCAGTGGGATACAGAAGGCCCTTCTTGGGTGTATAGTATGCCAGAGAGTGCTAATCTCACACTCCCAGCTCTGTTTTCCACAGCTTGGAGATCTGCGTGCCAAGGAATCTCTCTCATGTAAGATTTGCAGAAAGAAGGAGGAAAAATAGGATTCCTTATCTATCTTTCCATCCTATTCCTAGTTAGGGGAAGCAGGTCTGAGCTTGTCACTTAAGTGAATGATTGCCATAATATTTATGTCATAGCATTTTTCTAGTGGTTGAACTTTATCTGACCCTCAAGGTATGCCTTTACAAACAAAAAGATTAAACAGTGGATTAAACAGCCTAAAATACAGCTTAAAGTAAATACTTTGGTGATACTAAAGCTCAAGAAATTCAAAACAAGTGTATCTTTTTGCAGCTTTTCTGGACAAATTTCCTATCAGTATCCATGCCCTGCCCTGTAGAGTAAATGTATCAGTACTGCCAAAAGTTGCTTGTCAAGCTGTTCCAGGACAGTGCCAGTTCACACTGATTTACACTCTATTTGAGAGTGTTGAAGGAGAAAACATACAGTTGGTATGTTTCAGTGGGTTCATACCAACTTCACTGTGTTTTTCACATCCACTACCATGTCTTCCATAGGGTACCTTAGGTTTAATGATCTCATAGGTTAAGATGTCAAGTCAGTGAAAACTTATGAAATGAAAATGGATTACCAAAGTTGATTTTATAAATGCAGTTATTCTTCCTTCCTGGTTTTCCCTTTTCTCCTTACTTGTACATTAAACAAAATAAGAACTTGGCCTTTCAGCAAGTTTTTGTGGCAGTTTTGCTGGTTTTGTGGCAGTTTTGCTACATAATGTGTACAGGTTCCTGCATGGACCATTTTGGCCACAAACATTTTATTTTGCAAACCACATCTGTCACATAAAGCAATCTTCACTTCACTATTCAGCAAAATTACGTGAGAGCAACTTTTCATACAGAAAGAGAGCATGTCTGTCCCCCAGAGACCTGGTTCCTTATCTTGAAAAGCACTGAGAGGCCACAACGGATAAAAATGGGTTTGCTGCCTCTCACCCTCCCCTGATCATCATCTTGAGGTGTGGGAAGACATCTGTATAGATGGGCCAGGAAAGAGAAAGTGAGAGGTAATATGTCCTGTGTTTGTATGCTGATGCTGAAGAACATGGCAAGAACATGGGGGAAATGGAAGTACTTATGCAGGATCTGAAAACAGATAGAACAGAGAAAGGAGAAACACGGCAGGACAATCATCACAAGAGGGAAATCAAAACAAAGGTAAAAGCAGTGTGAGCATTGAGTGGGATTGTGTGCTGGAGAGGACAGATACAACAGAACCTGAGTTAAAATTGCTAAATGAAGGGTGATAAATGAGTGCAGCATTGGTGGTGTGAGCATTTTGTTACTGACTCTAATATCAAACTGAGATGTGGAGAGTTCTGCAACTCTACAATTGCTACAGGCAATTGTTCTAGAAACCAGGATTTATCAAGAAAATGAAAAGACAGACAAGTTGTTTGATGTCAGAGCTGGAAGGTTTTCTAAATGGTCACTTGCTTTTCAAGAGGTAGAAAAGTGCTAGAAAACAGCATGGGTCAAGTGATCAGGATCTGATCCCATTCAGTAAGAGAAAGGACAAGCTGTAGGCAGGTAGTTACTATCCCCAGTTTCACAAGGAATTGCACTGGCCAGTGAGACAGAGTGGCTATGGAGACCCACAATTCAGCCTCATGGTCTGGAAGTGGAAGAGGCTGTGGATTTCCTTCTCTCCCCAGGGCACAAGCAGAAACACAAATGGAAGTGAGTACCACCTAGTTGGGAATCAGCAGCTTTATTCCATCAGAAGATTCGTGTTTGGGAAGGGGAGCAATGGAAACACTTAGCCTCACTAGGATGGAATTCAGTAATCAGACTGTAAAGTATGTTAGGCACTTGCAAGGGCAGGAAACTGGACACAAAGCTGGTCCACTATAAAACCTTCTGTTCCTGTTGGACTGTAGTCTCATCTGGCAAACAATGGGATGCACAAAGCAGCCACCAGAGACTGAAACAAAACCACGTGCAGCATTGCTCTGGAGCACATCTGTGAGGCAGGACACAGACCTGGCTGCTCAGGGCAATTGTGGTGTTTCCCTGAGGGCAGACAGTGGCATTCTAGCTTTTTTCTGCATAAATCAGGTGGTTGTCTACCTGCTTGCCTTTTTTTTCTTTTGAGACATTGTGCTCTTTTCTTTCATGGCACTCATACCTTTAGGTAACTCACAGAAATCAAAGGTTAGGGTTAGACAGAGGCTGGGGATCTTTTCTGTGAGTGATAAGGCAGGATGGTACTTGAACAAGTGCAGATTCCAGGAAATGCCTGTTGATATTGTGCCTCTGTATGCACATACCTGTACACTTATATACATGGAATCATGTACATATATAAATACACACACATGTGTATACATCAATATATACACAGATATAATAAGCATGGCCTGTTGCTCAGCCATGGATCATTTCCTCTATGAATCATTTGTCCTTACACGAATGAAAACATGGTATTCTCTGTTGCTTCCCTTGCTTTAAAAATAAAAAGAGCAAAACTAGAAGTCCTATGTTTTCACATTTACAGAAAGGAAGTGTGTGCTAACATGTCACAAAGCATAAATATAATGATTTCAGTTTTCATTCCTTCTTTGTGTTAAAGTCAAATTGGAATGTCCTTCCTCTCCCAGCACTGATCTCTCACAGGATACAGCAAGTTCTGTAGAATGGCATAAATTTCTGCAAGGCAGCCTGGGATTTTGAAACAAGCAAGGGAAACATAGCAAATTTGGCTAGCTGAGGTTTGGGCAGGAGCAGGCAGCAGATTCATTTCCATTTTTTTATAACCGTGACAGTGCAGTATCATACTTGGGACCTGAAACTCTTACAGACCTCTTCAATGGAAAAGTGCTACTAAACATTTAAGTTAAAAATTAATGGTTTTATCACAAAGCCACAGTATATTACTTTCAGTTTGGGAAATCAAATCCTGTTTGCACAAGATGAAGAACTGGTGTTTGGTTCACAAAACCTCCAATATTTTCTTAGATCTTTCTCCTCTCCTTGCTAAAGTACCAGTCCCATGAGCCTTTAGTCCCTGGCCATAGTACCAAATTTCATCATCCTCTGTTTCAGCAACAAGAATTACATGTGACATGTTCTTCCACCCTCCAATCATTCAAACTGCAATGCCCTGAGAGACATCCCTCTGCACCAGCTTTATGACTGTCCTTTTTTTGCCTTCACTGAGCACATCCATCACACAGGACTTATCTTTCTTTCATGGTGTGACTTGGCCTTGGCCTACCTAACCCTTCTCAGGTGCCTGGTGTTCTGAGACTTTGTCCCTCAGTTAGGCAATCCTGACTAAGTTTTTCCAGGAAACACCTCCGAGTTTGTTTTTCCACTATCTGTAACATGTATCTCAAAGTGTTTCTCTTAAATCCTAATAAATAACAACAAATGGGATATTGGGCAGAAATCTTTCAATCAAGGATGCACTTAAATCTTGTCTTTGATATAATGCCTACAGACAACCAGCCACCATGGGGATCCTTTCACACCTCATTTTATTCAAGGTTTTAATTTTTTATACATCCACCCCTGTGCTTCCCTGGCATCACCTGAGTCACCTGTTCTCTCATCCTAGAGATCACCCAAAATGAACTTCACTGTGGATATGCATGAATGTGGCTATTCTGAGGGATGCATCCAGGAATATGTTTTAAGCTTAGTCAGAACAGGTGGTGGAAGCACAGAACAAGTCAGCCACTATCAAATTCTTGCATCTTTACTGGTGCCCTGCCTCTGTGCAGTAGTTCAGTAGGCTGAAGAAAGGCAAGTACCTCTTAACTTTCCTTCCCCAGTCCATTATGGAAAATATATCTATTTTTCCTTCCCCAGAGACAGTGAGGAAAGTGTGACAAGGCACATGGGAGTACTGTTGGCACACAACTGCTTAACCTGCTCGGAGCTTAACCTTACTCTCAGAGCAAAATTTTTGGGTGTGATGGTGGATGAGAAGCTCACCATGAGCTGCAGTGTGCGCTAGCAGCCCAGAAATCAACCAAATCCTGGACTGCATCATAAGGAGTGTGGCCAGCAGATCAAGGGAGGTGATTCTTCCCCTCTACTCTGCTCTCATGAGACCCCATCTGGAGTACTGCACACAGTTCTGGTGCCCTCCACATAAGAAGGACATGGAACTGTTGGAGCAAGTCCAGAGGAGGCCACAAAGTTGATAAGAGAACTGGAGCATCTCCCCTGTTAAGACAGGCTGAGGGAGTTGAGGCTGTCCAGCCTGGAGAAGAGAAGACTATGTGGAGACCTCATAGTAACTTTTCAGTATCTGAAGGGCCTACAAGGGAGCCAGAAAAGAGACTCTGTTAGGACCTGCAGTGACAGGACAAGGGGTAACAGGTTCAAGTTGAAGGAGGGAAAATTTAGGCCAGATATTAGGAAAACTTTTTTCCTATGAGGGTGGTGAGACACTGGCACAGGTTGCTCAGGGAGGTAGTGGATGCCCCAACCCTGGCAGTGTTCAAAGCCAGGTTTGATGAAACCTTGAGCGACCTGTTCTGGTGGGAGGTATCTCTGCTCATGGCAGAGG